ACACTTAGCACACTTATATAACTCATTAATTACCATAATTTCAAGTAGTTATATTATGTTATTATGCAAAAAACGAAGTTGGTAACATTTATGAATTACTGCAAAAATAACGTTTTTTTTTTCATTAATCTCGGTCAACAGTTTAATTTAAACTCTCAAAATTGAAGAACTTTTGTCACATCAACAACTTTTATTTAAATCATATTCTCTAAGATGTATAAGAAACGTTTTATAGGCAGACAAATGATTTTTTCAATTTTTATGATTGTTTGGAAAAACAAAGCAATATTAGCTGTACCGGTTCAAGGGTTTTTCATCATCTACCCCTCATACACCTTTTAAAATCTTCAAAATCCCTGTGTAAAGTCTTTTTTATTAAATTCGTTTCTAGTTGTCTCTAGATGTCTGGGTATGCACCCCAATAAAAAAATCCTGACCTAAAAATATATTGATGTTCATAAAATATCAAGCAATAATTATGTTTATGACATAAGATTCCCAAGACTAAGGTGTTCTCATGTACGAAGATTAAATATTAACACTTTTTACAGAATCGCAATAAAAAACGCTCCAGCTTCATATTTTCATGCCATAAAATAGCTGTTTATAATGACATTCAAGTGTAAGTCAAAGATTTATTTTTTATAAGTTCAGATAAAGATAAAAGTATACTGCCATTAATTTTAATTTTATGTTGCCGTAAGCAGACGCACATTAGTCAAAAAAATGTGTAAAAATGTAGAAAAGCTTAGTTACATTGTAAATTATGGCAGATCAGCCTTTTAAAAACTAATATATTTATTTTAAGTTCCCTAAGAGATACATAGTGTGAACAAGTAAGAATTCCAATATTCCCAGACAGGCCACTTCACAAAATAATCAATGAACGCTAGTAAAACTTTCCGCTCTTTGGTAATTAGGATCAATCTTAAAACTTTATGGGTTTTGTCTGGTATTTTTTTACAATCTTCCAAATCCGTTACAGTCACGTTCTCTTTTTTCGAGCTTGAAGTATAATAACATTTTTAATAAGTCAGTAGATATTTTTATGCAGTTACACCAAAATAAAACTTAACATAATAACAATTACATTTTTGTTTTTGACGTTACAGTTTATGTTACAGACATGAATCTTTTTTAAAAAATCCCTAAAAAAATTGAAAATTTACCTTTAATAAAAGTTTGAAGTTGTTTTTCTCCTAAACCGTTGTGTTTGTTTGTCTTACAAAAAGTTTTGTTTTTTTTCATATTTTTTAACATTCTGTGGAATTAATTAGAATCAAACAATGCATTTTATTATTACTGCGAGATAGCGTTTTCATCTATTTTTCAAATTTTTTTTTTAAATTCCTCTTGATATCTCTATTATGAAAAATTATACAAAACTTTGAACTAAAAAAAATTTGAGTTTTTATGGTCCTTTAAAGCAAATTGAAGCAAAGAAACACTACTTACATAAACTTTATTAACATTTAAAACAACTAAACATTGTATTATGTCCAATGTAGGCTATTTTCCTGGATCTGTTGTTATAAAAAAAGACGAATAGATTCTGCTTTATTGAGAACTTTCGTTTGTTTGCTTCGTCGTCTACGAAATTTTTAGTGTTCGTCTATAGAACCTCATTTAACACAGAACAAAGAACACTATATAAGACGATTGCCCATATGTTCAGAAAAGTGACCTCATTTTTTAAAAAGCTGAACAGCCAACTGAACTCTACAGTTTATCTCGTTATTTGGTTTTAATTGTTCAATTATATAACAACCTTTTTTTTTTTGGACTGAGGTGGAAAGGTTCTAAACCGACTAGGGAAAGATGTCCCTAGTACTGTTGGATTCGATCCGGAAAGGAGCACATGCTAGGACATAGCATCCAAAGTATGGATTATATGCGCCACATGCACCCCTGACCAGTCGCCTACCAACTAAAACCACCCCTTCTTCGGACAAGGCACTCCCGGACGAGTTCAATCGGTGAACGAAACATTGAGATGCCTTGTGCAGTCTGAAAATTTGGGAAAAAATTGTAAAAGGGTTCTTACCTAAAAACGATAAGAAGCGCTTAAAATGGTATGCAGCGATGGTATTGTGGGGAAACAAAATATTGGGTCCTAAAAGGTGCAGGTGTGTTTAGCCTGACAAGGAAGGAATGTGAAATAAAAGAGGCATGAGGTCGTGAAAACTACGTACGTAATATAATTACAGATCTGGCTGTAAAAGTGCCGTCTATTCCGTCGTGCAGCCGAGTTGTAAAGCACTTATGACAGCGTATTGTATAATTTTTTACCTCATCCACCTTGTTCCTGTCTCGCTCTTTCTAGCGTCTCCTTTTTCTTTATAATTTGCGTAATTATGTCGACAGTAACATCGTAGGATTCTTTGTTCTGCGTCGCTTTCTGTATCAGATTGTTGGGCGTTATCGCTCCTAGCCTTGATATTAGGTTATTCCGTTCTCTTTGGAAAGTAGTGCAAGCAAAAATGCAGTGTTCTGCGTCGTCTATGACGCCACAATTTATACACAGATCATTTGTTGTCTTCTTTATTCTATACGTATACGACCTAAAGGAGCCATGGCCGGTGAGAAATTGTGTAAAAAAGTAATTTAACCTTCTGAACCTACATTTAGACCAAGTTACCACATCAGGGATTAACATTTTGGTCCATTGTGCCTTCTCCGTTTGTGCCTCCCATTCATTTTGCCATATTTGAAGCATATATGATCTTACTTCGGATTTTATTTCCGGTAAATGACCGTTTTCTCTGTTATATAAAGTATCTCTTTCTTTAGCTAGGAGGTGAATGGGGAGCGTACCTGTTATGACCTGTAGGGCAATCGTAGAAGTAGTCCGATATGCGCTTGCTACCTTTAGTAGAGGCTTCCTTTGTGCCTTTGCAAGCAGTTCCTTATACTTAGCCATTCTCAAGGCTTCGTACCATATGGGGGCGCCGTATAAGAGTGTAGAGTGCACAATCTGAAGGTACATTCTTCTTTTGAGGGCACTTGGACCACCGATATTTGGCATAATTTTTATTAATGCCGCGGTTCTTTCTTCTGCTCTATGGACTACTTTCATCAGGTGCTTTGTAAATCTTAGACCTGTGTCTAGTTGGATGCCCAGATATTTAGCACAGTACGTAGGCTCTATACTTGTACTACCTACTACAAAAGCCAGGTTTGGGCGGGCTCTAGGGCCTTTCAGGATCAGAATTTCTGTTTTTTCTGTTGCCATCTCTAGATCTTGTTTCACCATCCATCTATTGACTTTTCGACAGCTTCTGTTGACTAACATTTCTAACTCCAAGTTATTGTTACACTGAATGAGTAGAGCTAAATCGTCTGCGTATGCAATAGCTTTGGTCTCTGCTCCATAGTCAATTTCTAGGATTTCATTATATAAAGTGTTCCAAAGCATTGGTCCTAGTACGGATCCTTGCGGTACGCCTGCTGATATTTTCAGGTCTTTAGGTTTTGCCACTTGGACATACCTTTCATTGAGGTAGTCCTTAATTATATTGATCAAATAATCTGACACGTTTGCTTTTTCCAGTGAGGTGATAATGTGACCCCAATTGGCTGAGTTGAATGCGTTTCTCACATCAAACATCACGAGGGCAGCCCATTTCTTTCTCGTCCTTTTTACAGTGTCAGTTATTTCTTTTACCGCATCGATGGATGATCTAGATTTTCTGAATCCGTACTGTTTGTCAGATATACTTCCATTTATCTGTAATTTATCTTCTAGGCGATTTTTAATAAGATTTTCATAAAATTTCCCCAGGCTGTCTAGAAGGCAGATCGAACTGTATGAGTTGGCAGTCTCGGGGTCCCTGCCCGGTTTAAGTATTAACGTCAGTCTTGCTTGTTTAATGATTATGGGAAATATTTGCTTCTGGAGGAGTTCATTGAAGATCCTCCGAACCATCTCAGGATTTTTCTCTATGATCATCTTTATCGCCTCAGGAGGCACACCATCAGGACCAGCTGCTCTTCCTAATTTAATACTTTTTGTCGCTATTGCTATTTCTTCAGCCGAAAAAACAACAGGTCGAACGTTGACGTTATTTTGAGCGAACTGTTGTGGGGGCTTAGCAGAAAATAGAGTATTAGCTATTTTCTTCCGTTGTTTTGCACAAAGGCTGTATGGGGTCTCTGTTCTTAATGTTTTTGTGGCAATTCTATAAGCTTCGCCCCATACATCATCTTCTAGTGCTGCGCATAGGTTATGCCAGCAGGAGTGCTTCGCCCGTTTAATTTCTCTGCCCAATTCTTTTTTAGCTCGCTTGTAATTTTCAGTGTGTTGTGGAGTCCTATACCTTTGTGCCGTACGCCTGAGTCTAAAACATTCGGCTCTCTTGCTCTGGATCTCATCGTTCCACCAGTATGGCACTGTATACGTGACGTTTTCGGTGGAGCTACTTGAAGTGTATGCATTAATAATTTTCTGTCTGAAATCTTGGAATTCGGTAATGTCGTCTTCTTGCAGGTTACTTATCTGCCTCGTATAAGCTTCTTTATTAAAGGTTACTTTTTTCCGACCGATCTTCGAGACCTTGATGCCAGTTTCAAAGACTATGTATCTGTGAAAAGTGTAGAGATTATCCTCCAACACCTCCCAGCCCGTAATTATATAACAACCTAGATATTTAAAATTGAATATTCTTTGTGTTGGTTGTCCATCTATTTGTAATTTTGTATTTGCTAAAATAAGCGACTAAATACCATGTATTTTGTTTTAAAACACTTAATGTTTAGTCCCATCTTTCGCCCCACAGTGTTAATGGACTTTAAAAGACATTGTAATTCATTTAAGTCAAGACAACTGTGTCGTCTGCATATCTGATGATTTATCAGTTATCCATAAATCTTTACACCATATTCCAAGTTCCAAGTACCTACAAAGCATGTTTACAAAGCATATCTGAATAAAAGTTAAACAACAGCTGATCTCAATTAACTGAGGCGATAAGTTTACGTATTCAACCTTAATATGAAGTAACATGCACGATGACAAGGCCCAACCTTGCCAGTTAAGTATAGTGAGCGTAACTATAGAAGTAATTGAGCCCTGTCACCCACGCGACTAACGGAGAGTAAGATCAGATATGTGTTGTCACATTTTTTAAAGTGTTTTTTTCAAATTGGTCTACTAGCAGCATTGGTCTATTAGCAAACATGTTAGATGTTTTAAAAGAAACGTACTAAGGCGAATTTATGGAGCAATGAATGACAATGGAGTGTGGAGAAGACGATCCAACTTCAAACTTTATAGAATATACCAGGAACCTGATATCGTAAACATACTAAAATAGGACGTCTGAGGTACGGCACATAATGCAGATGTAACAAAACTACCCAGCTAGAAAAACGATCTTTGATAGACCCATTGGTCTGAAAAGAAAAGGAAGACCTAGAACGAGGTTCCTTGATAACATCGATGAAGACATGAGAAATATTAAACTCGGTGGTCATATATAATAAGTGTAATAAGAGCACGCTCATCTCCTTCGGTCTTTTTTTAAGTACGACCAGTTTTAACTTTTGTTTCAACATTTTGCGCTTTTTTTTTTGGCAATTATGAAATTATATTTCTTAAAATTCTTTAAGCAATACTTAAGTTTTGAGCAATTTTGTGTCAAGAAAGTCCTTTGTTATAGGCCGTAAAAATGGAATTGGAATGTAAATCGTTAAACACTTTCGGCTAACCATTTTGACAATATAATATCAGTTGATAATCCTCTGACTCGGAGTAAATATACATATATTTGACAATTGACATATATTTTTTATTGCAGCAGGCCGCATCATTAGAAAAAGTAATAAAGGAGCAACAGCAGCAGTTAGAACTGGATCGAACTTGGGAACAGGAAAGGGAAAGGGATATTAAAGGCAATGGAAGCTCAAGTCCAGTGTCTGACCACAGAACGCAAGAACACTCACCGCCACCTTCGTCCGACACGCAGAAAAATCTCAGTGCGACGATTCCACCTATTCAGCAGGTATGAACATTAAAACTTCTTATTTATTTTTAAATTAGTAGTAATTATTTATTTACCAGTTTATATTTCATGTACGTAGTTTAGATTTTTTAATAAATACGTAAATATTGTTATAGAATGAACCCACAAAGCTACCCCCAAATGAATACTCCTATAGTCAGGCACAAACACCTGGACCGCCACTAATGTCTTCACCCACTTCAAATCTTCACCATATGCAGCAGCTCCTGCAACAGCACGTATTAAGTCCTACGCAGCTACAGACTTTAATGAAGCAACATTCGATACTGCAACAACAGCAGCAACAGCACCAAGTAAGTATTTAAAAATCAAAGCTCTTCATTGAATATATATCACTGTTTTCTGATATGCAGCTTGTTTACTTACAGCAACATCAGTTGGCAGAAATAGGCAAAAAACAGATTGAACAAACTATGCAATCGCTTCAAGAACAGCTTCAACTGAATCTCATCCAACAAACACATATCTTACAGAGTACAGACAAGAAAAAGGCTTCAAGTTCAATACAGCAACTAGCCCTACAACAGCAGCAACTGATACAACAACTGCAATTAGTCCAACGGCAGTATGTGGTACATCAGGGTATGGGAATGCAACCTCTTATGCTGCCTCAAAGTCAAAGTAAGTAATTCAAACATGTTAATATTATAAAAATGTATGTTTTCTTAAATACCCATTCAAATAGAAGCTTATTTTACTCGTTTGAGTTTTATAAGTTGTTTTTCTTCCACTTTTTAGTATCCTTGTCCGTATGAAAATTACGGTATATCATTATTAATATACAACGTTATTATTAATAATTTTATATAATTTAAATAATCTATTTTGATATTACTTTATTAACGTTCAAATAGAGCGTTGTATTGGAGAGATTTATACCAAAAAAGGAGTTTTAAGAAAACATACAGTAGAATTGTGGGTTAAAAAGTAAATAGAATTGTTTATATTAGGGAAAACTTCCTTTAACATAAACTAAGCAGAATATTTATTGAAGAACGGCAGAAGATATGCATTGAAGAAACCGAAGACCAGAAGACTGATCCTTTTTTATTTCTTATAAAATCAGATCAGATTTATTTAATTTTTTTGTATAAAATATATAATTTTAATTTAATCTAGTCAGTAATTACTTTATTTTCGAAGAATATTTTTTAATCTAAAGAAGATCTATGCAAAGAAGGCATGTTTTCAGCATTTTGGTACGTATTTCCTATCCTTTTTAATCATATACCTTATTCTTGAACCTGATTCCTTAAACACCACTTAAAATGACTTAGAACAAAGGTTTTCAAATGAAAAGAAACAATTTATAATATATCTACATAAGAAAAGACATAATTTAATAGTTTTACTCTGCAGCCGAATTTTTACTTTCGTTTTACAGACTTTTGTTTTCATCAAAACTTTTATACCAATTGCCTAGGTTCAAACAGAATTTTTACAGAAATAACACAAAAGAGAAGTCAAAATTTTTGAAATAAATATATAATATTAATTTTATATTTGGTAGACTGTATAAATTAAGACTAAAGTTTATTTGGTAATGAGAGGGACCAATAAATTAGCCATTCGGCCATTCATGTGCGTACATGTGTACAGCTTCTTCTATTAATTTTTATATACCATATAACTGCAGAATTGAATAATAAACTGCCTATTTCAAGATAAAAGTGTTGAAAGATAATATTTCTTATAAATAATGGTCAGTAATTCTGCGATATTACTTACAAATAATGTTCAAATATTTTATGAATAAGAAGTAGGAATAAAGTGGCTTTTATCCTCATTTGGTATGCAAATCTAGAATGAGATAATTAAATCACTAAAGAAAGACAAAAATAACAAAGCATCAGAACCAGGGAATATAAAATATGGTGGTACAAGGATCGTATCCTTTAGAGTGTTTTTCATTAAAATCGAAGCAGAGGAGACACAAGCAGTCTTTGCATAAGTTCCTGTCTTGTCTTCTTCTTACGGTGCCTTCTCCTTAAGGACGTTGGCCATTACATTTGCCCATTTAATCTTATTTGTAGCAGCCCTAAATAGTTCTATGGAGGTCATGTTCGTCCATTGCCGTAGGTTTTTAAGCCAAGAGTTGCGTCTTCTTCCTGGTCCTCTTTTGCTATTGACTTTGCCTTCGATTGTAAGTTGGAGCAGTTCATACTTTTGATTTCTTATGATGTGACCAAAATATTGGGTTTCCCGTTCTTTTATTATAAGCATAAGCTCTCTTTCCTTATTCATCCTCCGCAAGACTTCCGCATTTGTCGTATGGCTCATGTAGGATATTCTGAGCATTTTACGGTAACACCAGAGTTCGAATGCTTGGATTCTTTTTTATGTTGCTTCTGTCATTGTCCAGGCTTCAACACCATAGAGCAAGGTGAAGAAAACATAGCACTTAAGTATTCTAGTTCTCAATGAGATGCCCAGCTAGCGGTTGCATAGAACTTTTTGCATTTTGTAAAACATTGTACGTGCCTTTTCCAGGCGTATTCTTATCTCTAGTGAGTGGTCCCAAGTTTCATCAAGATTACTTCCAAGGTACCTTGTTCTTGTTACTCTTTCCAGATCTGTTCCGTCGACATTGACCTTCACCCTTCTGTTTTGGTGCTTGCTGATGACCATCGTTTTTGTCTTCTTTGTATTTAATTTCATTCCAAATTCTCTACAGGCTATCGTTACTCGGTCCATTAAGCGTTGCAGGGCTTCAGCATTATCTGCCAGTATGACACATCCCTGTCTTACTCCCTTCTCGATATTGATTTTTCCAGATGTTCCGCTTTTTATTCTGATTTTAGCCTTTTGTTCTTGGTAGAGGTTTGAAATGATCCTTAAGTCTTTATCGTCTATATTACATGACCTTAAAATATCTATTAGTTTATCATGTTTCACCAGGTCAAACGCCTTCTGAAAGTCTATAAAACACAAGTATACATCAGAATCGACATATCTACATCTTTCAACTAGCACACGTATTGAAAAAAGTGCTTCTCTTGTTCCGAACCCATTCTTAAAACCAAACTGAGTTTGACCAGTGTGTTCTGGCCTGTCTTGTGGACCTGGAATATTTGATAAGAAAAATAAAAGGAAGAATATAAGCTATGGTGATTCAAGATAAATATTTGTAAGACCAAATACTTATTTATTGCAAGATTAAAATCATCTAATAGGAAATTATTATTCTTTATTAGAAATTATTCTTGTGAAACAGTTCCTTTATTCACAAAAATTCACAAAGTGAATGGGTTTATCAAGCATATTTACTGATAAAGCATATTTACCGATACTGGTAACGAATACACTTAACGAAAATCATAAGAAACCAAATTGATTTTATCAACATAAACAAAAGGTTTAGAAATTCTCTCACCTCAACAAAACATATCCAGGCGCAGATGTCTTCTCAGATTATAGTCTATTGGTTGCAAATATTAACATACGACTCAAAATAATTCATAAGAAAATGAGGCCCAGGATAGAATAGATATAAGACTACTAAATGTAGATAATACTGATAATAATGATACCCAGAAAACAGTAAAAACAGATGACAGATAAATTATTGCAGATGATGGAAGAGCGAAGAAAATTAAAAGGTAGAAATGACAATAAATACAAAAAGTTGCATAAGACTATACCAAAAGCGATAAAAGGAGCAAAAGAAGCATGGCTCACGGAAAAATGTAAGGAAGTTGAAACACTACAATGCAAACATGACGATTTCCATATGCACAAAAAAATTACAAGAGGTACAGAATACCAGAAAACAACGCAATACAGGCATAGCTGTAGACATTGAAGGCCAAATTTTGACTACCATTGAAGATAAAGGACGGAAAGAATGATGGGATTGAAAGGAAGATGGAAAGAAAATATGCAAGAATTATTCGAAGATGCAGCACGAAGTCCGACTAAAATAAACAATCTGCGGTCCAGAAATAACAAACAAAGAAGTAACTATGGCCATTAAGCGGATTAAAGATGGGAAATCACCAGGACCTGATGAGGTGTATGGTGAAAACTTAAAACTATTAGAGTCTCCCCAAATCACAGCTCTTACGAAGCTATTCAACAATATCTACGAGACTGTTTACTTCCAAAAGACTGGATACTATCAATATTCATTCCACTTCCAAAAAAAGCCAACGCTAGAAAATGTGAAGAACATAGATTAATTAGTTTGCTGCGCCATGTACTTTAAGTACTCCTTACTATCATTCACTCGTGCATATACACCAAATTAGAAGAACACCTCAGTGAAGTTCATTTTGGATTCAGAGCAGGATTCGGAACGAGGAAAACACTTTTTAGTTTGCATTTTCTTATACAGAGAGCATGGATGTCAACTGCGATTGTATGCATGGTTTCATTGATTTTGAGAAGGCATTTGATAAAGTCCAACATGGGAAACTAGTCGACATCCTAAAAACATCAGGATGGTAAGGATATAAGACTGATCTCAAACTTATATCTGCAACAAAAAGCAACAGTACGATTAGAAAATGAACTGTCCAAGATCTTCACAGTCAAAAAGGAGTTAGCCAGTCGTTTTTTTTATAGGTAAAATATGCACTGATTTTGTAGCTGTGATTTTAATTCTCCATTTTTTTAACCAATTATTGATTTTATTCAGAGATCTGCAGTTTTCTTGCAGCTTCTTCATGGTCTTCTCCAACTGATCGTCAACGAAAGTACCTATCATATCTTCTGCAGGATCTGGAATATCATTAAATTATAATAGGTAGAGTAGCGGTCCCCAGTACACCCTTTCAGTCACAAACTTTTCTTCCAGTGATCTTTCTATTAAATTAGTTATCCAATATAGTTAATCAAAAGTCGAATGACTTTCCCTGAGTAACCAAAGTGAGTCTATTATTGGTTTTAATCTTTTTAGCCATAGTTTTTTAAATGGCCTCATTTTGAGCTCTACAACTTTTTAATATATCGGCACATGCTTAAGTCTAAATAATGCATTTAGTGAGCAAGTGTCACTATAGTTTCACTGTAATAGCTGTTTTAATGTTTCTCCTGTTATCAGATCTAATCCAGGTGCCTTTCTAGGATTATTATTTTCATTTATCTTTTGGACCTTTTTAGAAGTTAAATCTCCATTTCGACTATCCGTCAGTTCCACAAGGTCATCTCCCTCTTCTGCTTTCATAAATATATGAGCTTATAAATGACATATTTCTCCGTGCGTCTTTCTTCCTACTCGTATCTCTCAGGATGGATCTTAATTCTTAAATATTATGTTACCTTTATACGAATATATCGTCATTATTTTTTTTTTTATTAAGTAAACCGCGTCAACCATGAAAGGTTATTGGCGGGAAAGAGTTGTACATAAAATTAGATGTTTGCTTATAACTACCATTTACAATTGATAACTTAAGTCTATTTTTTATATTAGATTGTACAATTTAGTTAGTTTTAGAAACTTAGACACTTTATCACAGTTACTATAGTTCAGAGCACATTTCAGATCACTTGGTAAATCACTTTGAAGTCGTTCCAGGTGATAGAGTGGACAACTAACAATAATGTGTTCGATTGTCAGAGGAATATCACAAACATAGCACAGTTTTTGTTGTTCTTTCTTCATTAAGTACTGGTGGGTTAACCTGGTATGTCCTATTCTTAAGCGATGTTGTATGACTTGATCTCGTCGTTTTTGTGGCATTATCCCTTTTGGTGATAAATTTGGGTTGATGCGTTTTAGTTTGTTGTCGTCAAGTTTTTTCCATCTCTCGAGCCATATTCTCATTGAAAATTCTTTGATGGTGTTTTTAATGTCGGAAAGAGGAATTTCTGGGAGCTCTTTATCTTGTTTATTCGTATAGCAGGCTTCTTTAGCTTCCCGATCAGCTTTTTCATTACCTATTATGCCTACATGAGATGGAATCCAAACAAATTCTACCCTTTTATTCTTACTGTAAAGTTCTTCGAGATCAATTTTAATTTGGCATAGTATTGGGTGGTTTGGGTAAACCCTTAATATTTCTTGTACTGCACTTAAAGAATCTGTAAAAATGACTGCTTCCAATTTGGGCTGGTTTGATATATGTTGTAGGGCTTTAGATATGGCATACAATTCGGCGGAATATATGGAGTACTCCTTAGGTAGCTGGAACTGATGTTTAATTGTTTCGTCAACGAAAGCTGCGCCTACCGTTTTCATTTCAGAAATTTTTGACGCATCTGTATATATTTGGTAATATCTTTTGTACTTGTCTTTAATCTCTTGAAACAGTTGTAGAATTATATGTGATGAAGTATCAGATTTAGGATACAGTAGAAGATTTGTATTACATGTGGGGAGTTTTATGGTCCAAGGAGGAGGGTAGTTTATTTCATTGGGAATAACTTTCGGGAAATTGAAACCTGTAATTCTTTTACTAAATGATGCAGAAAGAAAGGGTTTTTATTCAAAAATTGAATGAAAATTGTCAGAAAATGTGTGGGAGTAAGCAGGGTTATTACAGTTTGCTCCAATTTTAGCTGCATATTGTAGGCTTAGTCTGTGTCTTCTAATTGAAAGTGGTGGTTCAACAACTTCTACATAAAGACTTTCTACTGGACTGGTTCTGTAGGCTCCAAGTGCAAGCCTTAACGCGGTATTTTGTATGATGTCCAATTGCTTTAGTAAACTATCTTTAGCTGAACTGTAGACTATTGATCCATAATCTAGCTTGCTACGAATCTGTGTTTTATATATATTAAGTAATTGTGAGGTATCTGCTCCCCAATTATGATTGGCTAATACTTTTAGTATGTTATTATTTTGCTAATATTACATTGATTTTTATTTAATTTATTATCTTACAATATTGAACAATTATTGTTTCTTTTCAATGATAAGTTTAAATAACTGAAAACCTTATGTACTCATATTATAATCTAACGTAAACGTTTCTATAATTTCTTTATGTTAAATCCTATTTTACTAGCAACAAAATACGACTACGAACGACATTGTTTTTATTTTTATATGTTATTTGAATATTTGTAAATTTTTCATCATAAATTTGAAAACTCTTTTAGAAAGTTTTAAGAAAATGTCCTGTTGCATAACTAATAAGTTTCAAACCACTAGAAATAGCAAGACACTGCATGTTTATGTTGCAAAATGGATAAAAGTTTTGCTTTTATTGTTAAGTAGTTGACGATTGACTATAAATGGACCTTTATCTATATTTTCTAATATACATGTTAAAGAAAAATTGATTATAGAAATTTGTATTGTTTAAACAGAATTTAAAAAATAATTAGTATTTCAAAAAAAGTGAAGAACAACATAAAAGTTTTTAGTGTTTTTGGATCAAATAAGTTCTTCACCAGTTGTACTACTTCAACACTTTTCTTGTTTTTTTTCTCGTTTCCCTAATTTCTTTTCTAGCCCACTGTCGGACAGTTTTCCTTGCTGATTTTTAACTTTCCGTTTGTCTTTCTTTTTCTTCATTTTTAACTTTAGTAAGTAGTGATCACAATGTATATTGTATGCCTAGATGCCAAAAATATCAAATTATGTAAAAATGACACTACACTACAAGACATCTCATTTACATTTTTGTTATCTTCTAAACCTAATCCACAGCCCTTTAGATATCAATATTTTTCTCAATAAAAGTGTAAATATTTCAAAAATTAATAACTTCAGACCTATAAAACCTTATATTCGTATAAACTCTTTATGTTTTTATTCCATTTAAAAAACACACCTTTGGTTTGATTATTTCCGTTGTTTTAACTAACCCTGTATTATCGAAAATAATTTAAAATTATAGACGTCTTTGATAGACATCAGTTTTATTATAAACATTTTTATATACATACTCCATAGTTTAGCCATAATAAAAAGAAAACTAGAGGTTTAGCGCACCTTATATCACACCGATTATTTTTATAATAAGAAAAAATGGCTCTAAAAATTCAGTATATACTAAACAGTGTTCAGTTTAAAAACATGTTACTCTAAGTCCGCACATGAAGCTACTAAAAAGAAACTAAACTAGTTGGTAACTAGAATTACCAACTGTTTACTTAACTGTGACTCGCACACTATGCTACTGAAAATTAATAAAAACGAGTCAAATCATGAATTTGTTGCTTGTGTGAGTCCATTTCAAATAGGTAAAGAAATAATAAATAAGACTTACTCACAATCAATTTAATTTAACTATCCGACGACCGGTTTCGCTTTCTACAATATGCAAAGCATCTTCAGGTCTCGGTACAAAGTTAAACAAATGCTGAAATGATAAAAACCCATATTAGGGTGTTGTCTAATAAAGATAAACAAATTAGATGTTATAAATTACAATAATTATGCCAATATTACCTGTCTGTGGTTTTATTTAAATGATTGAGTTGAATAAAAGGTATAAATATTTTTAAAAAAAGTTAAAAGGACAAGGTAAGGCCCACAAATTGTCATAAAATCTCTTCTATTGTAATAAATTAATGAATGAGCAAATAAATAAATGAAATAAAATAAAATTACTTACATGCCGGTACTCTATTAATAGATGGATGGTAGAACATGTTTGAAACTACTGTATATTGTTGAATGGAGAACTCAATACTATTATTGCAGTTGTTTGACAGTAAACGGGAAGTTCTTGAGGAGGTAGATTTGATCCAATGAATTTGAGATATGTGTGTTATTTATTGAGTAATTGTTTTATGAAGGTGACATTTATGACAATGAATAAGTGTAGATGTAAAATTGTGTGGGTGTGCAATATCAAAGTAATTTGATAACTACAAGTTTGGAAATAATTGCACACCCACACAATTTTACATCTACACTTATTCATTGTCATAAATGTCACCTTCATAAAACAATTACTCAATAAATAACACACATTTCAAAAATATATCTCTCGAATAAGTATAAATAACTTTTAATAACACAATAATATATTACACCACTTACATTTAACAAACAATCTCACACATATCTCAAATTCATTGGATCAAATCTACCTCCTCAAGAACTTCCCGTTTACTGTCAAACAACTGCAATAATAGTATTGAGTTCTCCATTCAACAATATACAGTAGTTTCAAACATGTTCTACCATCCATCTATTAATAGAGTACCGGCATGTAAGTAATTACTTCATTTATTTATTTGCTCATTCATTAATTTATTACAATAGAAGAGATTTTATGACAATTTGTGGGCCTTACCTTGTCCTTTTAACGTTTTTTAAAAATATTTATACCTTTTATTCAACTCAATCATTTAAATAAAACCACAGACAGTAATATTGGCATAATTATTGTAATTTATAACATCTAATTTGTTTATCTTTATTAGACAACACCCTAATATGGGTTTTTATCATTTCAGCATTTGTTTAACTTTGTACCGAGACCTGAAGATGCTTTGCATATTGTAGAAAGCGAAACCGGTCGTCGGATAGTTAAATTAAATTTATTGTGAGTAAGTCTTATTTATTATTTCTTTACCTATTTAAAAACGAGTCACTTCTTTCCTGTACGAGTAGCTTTGTTATAGGGTGTTTAAATTTTAACCTTTATATTATATTATTGAGTGTTATTATTGCGTTAAAAATGTCTAGTGACTCAAGTGATGAAGATATTCTTTATTATTATAATAGAAGACGTAAAATGCAGAAAAAAAGGAGGTATTGGGTTCATCCCTACATTGCAAACAATATAGATTGCAGAGCCTTTGTTGAATAGGCAGGGATGTTTTTGCACTCCTTGCACTAATTTTATATCAAACAACTGTTCTACCAATTTCGCCATTTTGCGTGTAAACTTTAAAAATATAACAACAAACTAGAAACTAGTCCCAAGCGACTTGCACGTCCAGTCTGCTGTCGACTGATCACTGATACATTAGAGACCGGTTACTAACTAGTAGCGCTTTGGGCGGATACTCATTAAAATACATGGACAGTAACTAATAAGCAACTGATTGGTAACTAAAGTTACCAACTGGTTTCTTTTTAGTAGCTTCATGTACGGACGGCCTAAGTTCTCCCAGGTATGAGTCATTTTATGTTATCATGATTTTTTTTTTAATTAATTGATACCCTACAATTAATGTATGAACAAGTTTTCTCTATCATATGTATTAATAAGATAGAGAGGGGTCCATCTATAAAGTATTCATTTACATATTTTAATCATTTGTACATATTTTTAATTAAAAATTGAAATATATTGCAGAAACGTTTACATTGTCCTTCTCGTCTTGGTCTTCCCTTATCACAGTGGTGTCCAAGGCGAGTGCCTTTAGCCGGTCCTATTCACGAAATGGTTAACGTGCGCTTAAAACTATTGGCACTTGCCTTTTTCCTATCATCCCGTTTTTACCCGATCCCTCTATTATCCCGGATTCCTCCGGTCCATCAAAATGCTGCAAACATCAGCCCTTCTCGGCGGTTGTCCAACGGTTTTAATCGCACGTGCCAGTGTCGCTACGCACTCGTTTTGTAATATGCTATTGGTATTTTTACAGGTCTTAACAGCAGAGAGGTGATGAGTCCGTGGAAGGAGCTTAATGATCCCCATATGACCAACAACAAATCCTCTTTGGATTTAAACGGTGAGTAGAAAATTAAAAATATAAAATAGAATTATTTTTGTTTGCATTTACACAAAATATAGAGCAACGCAAGAAGAAACAGACAAGTTGGATTCCCAATATTTTTGTTGGTATTTTTGATAATTGTTAAATATTGATGTTTAATAAGTATCAGGTATAGATTTGTAATCCATCACAGTGCAAATTCAATTATGCTCAAATGGTAGATTTATGTCTTATGTATGACGCATTTATTATACAAAGTAACTAGGAAGGGAATATATTAGTAACAATATATAAAAAAAGTGTCAGAAGTGAAATGCCAATGTTATAGGTGACTTAGGAGGGAAAAAAAGCTTATCAATACGTGAAACAATTGTTAAAAGTTTAACTAGGTGGTCATAGAAAAAAGATAATAACATTATAAGGCGTTTTCGAAAAAGAATAAAAAGTATGATATACTCAGTATTTCGTAACAACTCTTGCTGTCAAAATTTACTAACGAAAAGCAATTACAATGTTTCTAGATGTGCATTACGTAAACTTGTTACATTTACTGGAAATATAGAATAACCTTTGATGTAGTTTGGTTGAGCATAATAAATATTAGGTATTTCAGTGAAATAAATGCACAGTATGTACCGGGTGCTCCAATAAGCCGATCTCTCGGCTATATATCAGAAACTATTCATGTTATAACTTTAGGAGAAAAAATTAAGGATAACTAAGGCCCAAGACTTATATACAGTAATGAATAAACTCAGAAAATTCACTTTATTCTTTCGAAAATGTTCTAAATATTGCTAAGAATATCACATTCGAATGTGGTACCCATTTTGAACATAGCTTTGTCAAACCTAATACTTCAGTCAAACTATTGCTTACACTGCCCAATGAGAGGCCTAGGAGTTTTACTAAATCTCTTTCAGTCGCTCGACGCTTTTCTAATACGATACCTACAACAACGTTTAAATTCAGCAACCTATTTTTCGACTTTACTAATTGAAAGCCAAGAGTTCTTATTAACTTTCAACATTTGTTTATAAATTTCCTTTGGTTTTAAACTTTCTAAAAAATAAAAATTCAATCACTACATACAAATAATTAGGCTAGTAGCAATGCCCTCTCTTATCAAACCGCAAACTTATTAAACAGTCTATTATTATGACTCTTGTATTTCTGCAATAACTTTTTTGCAACATTTATTATATTGTTTGTAGGTAGCAGGTAGATACATTTTACGATCCCGGTAAAGTTAGGTCTACTTCAGGATCGCGACCCTGCCTATGCGAGCCGTGGCTCACTCTCAATCCCTTTAACCGAGAGGGTACCACGTCCCAACCTATCATCCTTGTCGATGACGCCAAATTCCCTAGCCCATCCTACAATCCTTCTACCAACCCGCACAGGCCAGCGTGGTAGAGAAACGGCCGGGAACCCCGTAAAATGAGAAAGGAAGAAAATGCAAGGCCCTCATTCTCCGGCAGTCCCTTGAAAACAGGCTATGGTAGCAGTCCTGTAGTTAGAGGGACAGAGGGTGCTAAGAATCACCGGAGTCAACCAGGCTACCTTCATAAACGACAACGGCAAAGAATATGGTTTATGGCAACATACAACACAAGAACATTGATGGAGGACGAAAAACTAGTTGAACTGGAAAACGAGCTGAATCATATAAAATGGGATATACTTGGATTGTCCGAAGTACGGCGAAAGGGCGAAGAACAAATGGTACTTCCGTCGGGAAACCTATTGCATTATCGAGAAGAGTCTTCCAATGGTGGCGTAGGATTTATGGTAAATAAAAAACACACAAAGAATATACTCACAATTAAAAGCATAAGTGATAGAGTTATATATCTTATCTACAAAGTAAACGAAAAAATTCGGTTAAAGATCATCCAGGTATATGCACCTACTAGTACCCATACAGATGAAGAAGTAGAATGGTTCTACGATGACGTTAACACTGCCATACAAGAGACAAACACCAACTTTACTATACTGATGGGAGACCTAAACGCCAAAATAGGCCACAAGCAAGATGATTCGGAGTTTGTAATTGGACCTCACGGATATGGCGATAGAAACGAAAGGGGTCAAACTCTCATAGAATTTCTTCTGCAACACAGGCTATATGTCATGAATACGCACTTTAAAAAAAGCGACCAAAGAAAGTGGACTTGGCAATCACCAAATGGTTTAAACAAGAACGAAATTGATTTTATATTTACTAACAAAAAAGACGCTGTTCAAGACGTAACTGTATTAAATCAATTTTCAACTGGAAGTGACCACAGAATGGTTAGGGCGAAGATAGTCTTAAACATACAGAAGGAAAGAAGACATATGGTAACAAGGACTAATAATGTTACATTCACTGCGATTACTAACACCAGGGCATACCAGGAAGAAATAGAGAGTAATCTACAGAAAGACCTGCAAGATGAAACCAGTATTGAACAGCTTAACGAAAAATTGGTAGAAACCCTGAAGAAGTCACAGAAGAAGTGCCAAGCCAAACACTCAACAAAAAATGAAAAACTCACAGAAGACACAAGAAACCTAATGCAAAAAAGAAGGGAAATGAAAGAAAAGCATACAACGAACATTGCAGAGCTAAGGAATTTAAACAAAACCATTTCAAAAGCCATTAGGAAAGACATAAGGAACTTTAACACTAAGGAAATAACTGATACCGTAGAACAAAACAAAAGCCTAAAAGTTCTAAAACGAAAGTTGAAAATAGGAACGAGGAATATTTATAAGTTAAAAAATAATCAAGGACATGTCATACATGAACAACAAGAGATACTAAAAATCATCGAAGAGTACTATAGAACATTATATAGTCGAGATGATCACATTCCCGAAGTAGAAATTCCAGCAATACTAAATCAAGAGTCAGAGGAACTTCCAGATAAAACCGAAGAGGAAATTAAGTCAGCATTAAAAGGTATGAAGAACAACAAAACACCTGGAGAAGATGGCATTGTAAGTGAAATGATAAAACTAGGAAGCGAATGCGTCATAAAGGCTTTAAAAACCCTTTATAATGCCTGCCTCTTTGAAGGAAATACGCCAGAAAAATGGAATAATGCCATTATGATAATATTGCATAAAAAAGGAGATGTAACAGAAATTGGCAACTACAGACCTATCAACTTATTATCTCATTTATATAAACTCTTTATGAGAATAATTATCAACAGACTGGGACCTAAGCTAGATTTTCATCAACCTCTAGAGCAGGCCGGATTTAGGAGTGGCTTTGGAACAAATGACCACCTACAAGTAATAAAATCCTTGATAGAGAAAGTTATAGAATACAACAAGCCGTTGATATTAATATTTGTAGACTTTGAGAAAGCATTTGACTCAGTCCAGCATAGCTCCATGTTAAGAGCTCTTACAGAGTGCAGTATTGACCATAGGTACACAACTCTTCTTCGAAATATATATGATAGCGCAACAGCTGCTGTAAAAATGTACTATGGTGACACAGACACATTTCCCTTGGAGAAAGGTATTAGGCAAGGAGACACTATCTCTCCTAAACTATTCACCGCCCTATTACAGAGTGCTATGAGAAAAAATAATTGGGAAAACATTGGATTAAATATAAATGGGGAATTTTTGAACAACTTGAGGTTTGCAGACGACATAGTCCTTATTGCAGATCAGGTAGATCATGCATGCCAACTTCTTCAAGACCTTCAGAGCTCTTGTGCACGAGTTGGCCTTAAAATTAATTTTTCCAAAACACAATACATGACCAACCTGGTACTGGCAAAAAACATTTCCACTAATGGCACGCAAATTGAACAAGTGTATTCCTATAAGTATCTGGGCCACGAGATTAAATTGGGAAGAGACAATCAAACAACAGAGTTAAAAAGGAGAATAGGACTGGCATGGGCAGCTTACGGAAAACTGAGGGAAGTCTTTAAATCAACTATTCCCATGTGCTTGAAGAGAAAAGTTTTTGATCAGTGTGTACTTCCAGTTCTGACATATGGAGCAGAAACATTGACACTTACCAGAAAAGTAATTAATAAGATACAAGTGGCATAGAGAGCGATGGAGAGGTCAATGTTGGGCGTATCACTCAGGGACAGAGTTTCGAGTCAGATAGTAAGGAGAAAAACTGGTGTGACGGACGCAGTTGAAAGAATTACAACCCTGAAATGGAACTGGGCATGACATGTTGCTAGGGTCAGAGATGGAAGATGGACAAAGAAAATTTTAGAGTGGAGGCCTAGACACGATGCTTATCGTAGTCGAGGACGTCCTCCAACAAGGTGGTCGGACGATTTAAAGCGCATCCAGTCTAACTGGATTCAAGTTGCTCAAGATCGGATGCAATGGAATTATTTACGGGAGGCCTATGTTCAGCAGTGGACGCAAAATGGCTAATGATGATAATGATGATTATATTGTTTATCCCTTTCCCATGTTTTTAAATGTTTGTAAAAAAATAGTAGGTACATCTATTTTTTAACTACGTAAAAGCTGACAAAATAATTTAAAATAGTATCATGAGTACTATACAATTTTTCACCTTCACTCAACATTAAGGTTAAAATGTTTATTGGTACATTTGTGTGACGGTATTTTAAAATAAATAGAATTACATTATATTTTAAATAAATGTTTATATAAAGATATGAAATAAAATACCAACTGTATCAAATATAATATGTTGTCATTTACTAAGAAACATTTTATTGGGACCACCAAAGTAACAAATTTTATTACCCCCATTGGCCATGCCTCTGTGGAGATCAGATTAAATTACTGAAACTAAGGTACACTATATAGGTATTTGTGTCCTATACAAAAACACAAAAAGTCAAACACAGCAAAACATTCGCACAACTCTTTGTGTTGCTGCCATTGAATAACAAAGTTATAGCTATTCGGTTTCTGTACACTTGTTATGACTGGTAATAAGGGAAAAGTCAGCGAAAAACTTACAAAAGAAATATCAATAAAACACACTTGAGTGGAGAAACTGTATAAAACTTCG